AAATTTGGAGTTCGATCCCATTGGTGGTAGGCCCACCGAAGATGGCTACTATGCAGTTTTGCTCTTAAACAATTAGAAAACAAACCATGCAAAAGGAATGATAACACATTGAAATAATAAACTTAACAGAATTCCTTTCATCTAGTCGTGAAATTATTATCTTAGTGTTTGTATATATATAATTGCAACTTTCCCCTCAGTAGAAGAGAGCGGGAACCAAAAGCTTTCTCAAAAAACAAAAACTACATTTCACGATAGTTTGTTGACGCTATTTCCAAACTTTAGTTTTTCGTGTCAACTTATAAGTGCCCCCCAGTGGCACAGCGGTATGTCTGCAGACTTATACCGCTAGAAGGTTTCGATACCCGTGGTGAGCAGAGCACAGATAGCCCTTTGTGTAGCTTTGTGCTTAATAATAAACAACAAACAACAACAACAGCTTATAAGTAAATTAATCACGTAAAACTCATGCGTATCTGACGTTTAGACTAATTGTTGATATAATTATTTAAGGAAATAAAGCATGTAAAACAAGGCTGAAAGCTAAAACAGTAGTGGATAATGATTTATATTATGAAATAGAGAATATAACGTTCAGCAGAAGGAGAAAAGTCATTGATAAGTGTTTGTTTATTTTCAGTAATTATTTAAAAGAAATACCCATATAAATTTTCTTTGTATATATATATATATTTCTAACGCAGGAACTGAATAGCATAGATTTGTTGTGAGCTATTACACCTCTAAAACTTTCATTAGAAATACATTAAATTAGCATATTATTTTCTTGAAGTTGCGCTAAAAAACTATGAAGTTTATCATTATCTGTTGGTTATTTCCCCTTAAAATAGGGGGAAACATCATAAAGCAGAGACTTATTGTCAGTTAAAACATTGATACTACGGTTTTGTGCTTGAGTAAACATTTGACGATACATCTTACCTCAACGAGACAGTAAAATGTTTACATCACTGATAGAGAATGGCTTTATTTGACTCGAGTCAGCCACTTTAACCTTATGCTGTTAGTTAAATATTATATAACAAATGTTATCATAAGAAACTCCAAAACAAATGGGGATGATTAGTTATGTGTTGTTTCTTATATTGTATACAACGTTAGAAGAAATAGACTTATGGAGTTATTCAATTCCCATATTGTATTATTATTTATTTATTGAAAAAACTAATTCCGTATTAGAACCAACAATGAATATATAAGCTGGTAGTTATATTTTCGGTGTATAAGACTGAGACAAGACAAAGAAGAAAATAAGTTAATTTAAATGTTAATTGAAAAATAACTTTCGAAGATCATTTCTTTCCTCAATTTCCAGTTTGTCGTCAACATATTTGAAATACGAGACCAATTTTTATTTTCATTAGTATTCGTGCCCTAGGAACTTGGGAGACAGAATTTACACCGTGGATGAATAGTCGTCGAACCATGGAATATAAAAAAGTGACAAATCTCCCTTTGCAGGTTAGTCAGTGCTAATATCTAATTTTTGTTGCTTCTCATATCCATAGATCCGTAGGAACGTCTTTTCGAAAAAACAAAGGGTATAGAAGTTGAGTACGCTATATTAAAACTACTTTTGAGCCTCACAGCATCGTTACGATCCAAGTCGCCACGTCTGGTCATACCTTATCTGACGGTCGTGAATCTTGACAAAAGTCCAGCATCATAGTTTCCATTGCAAAAGGATCAATGGTACGGGTGTTATGTCCAAAGCACACCACTCCTAACTTCATGCTTTCTATAATCTATCTAGTGTAAGAGCAAAACGGTTTCCCAACTTCAATTTAACATTCTGATTACGCAAAATTCCATAGGCGCTTCGTGTGGAATAACATAAATAACAGTTTCATTCTCCAGCTGCTTGAGGTACGCAATGGTTGAACTAGGGATATAACTGGAAACCTTACCTTAGTGAACCCATTCCCTGTTGGCCTCGTTTCTAGACAGAGATCCTTCATCAGTATATTAGGTACTGTAGCTTGGGGCGGCACGTGGACGGATTTTGCCACTGACCTTTGTGTTTGTGGATTATCATCTGTTACAAGATGAGCACTTTGCTACCACAATTGAGGTACACGTTTCTTTCTGGATGGTTATGGTGCCAAACGTTAATCGATACTTCTTTCTTTTTCCAATTTCTTTAAGTACAAGAAACATCCCCATCTTGGAAATTCTAAACCTCCAATCTGAACACATCGTTAAGATCTGAGTTTATGAATATTTTTTGTCCGCAATGGCTGTAACATACCTTTTCTCAAAGCAATTAATTTTCGGTGGTATTGCATTATCTATGAAACGTCAAACGATGCCAATAAGTAGTTATGATGTATTCCGTTCCACCATGACTTTATATCGGCTGTGGTTGTCACGTGACTTGCATATTCAAAATCGTTTTAACATAACGTACTGTATATACATTTACTAGTACGTGTTATAACTGTCATCTGACATCACATGGTAACATGCAAAGTCCTGATAGTTCTTAAAAAACCGAAGAATACAGGAAAATGTTTGCACAAAAAGGCCTAAGGTTTCCAAATAAAATAATATAATGAAAGTTCGGATGCTTATTAGTGTTATCTTTGCATTTTCTGCTTGTTTTTATATTCTCAAGAATATATTCTTCGTTTTTCTTGTAGTATAAATTTCTTTCAGAGATGCACCATGGTCCCCAGAATACGTTGCTCTGATATTTGCAATCTCTATGTAAAACATTTACTTGTTTTCTTAACTCTGAAAAATATACTGTTCGTATTCCTTCGTTCTTCTAGTGATACATTTATAAAATAATTACTTGGTTCTTAATATAAAAAATGTATTTAAGTAAAAGAGAATTTATTGGACAATAATAGCTTTTTAAACACCATCAATAAAGGAATATTTTATATATATTTCTTCATAGGTTAATCTATCCAGAGATTCCGTTTTGGCTTGAAAGGTAATAATATAATTTAATGTTATAGCTATGTTTTTTTACGTACAAATAATTAGTACTGAAATAAGTGTATACATCAAAGTCAGTTTTCAATGTAACCGATTATGTGGTAAACGGGTGTGAAACTATAATCACAAAAAGTTGCATGCCTGGCATGGCCTGGTTGTTGGTGTGCTCGAATCGAAATCTGCAGATCGAGGGTTCGATTCCAGTCATTGAACATGCTCACCCTTTCAGCAAACAAACAACCAATAAAAATTTGTGCTAAAGACCTAATGTGTGTGAGGTCACAACTTCCGGTTGGAGGAGAGTGACGCCATATTGGATGTAGAGCAAGTTAAAAATCGAAATATATCGATAATTATCGACATTTCTTGAGATTACAGATGTTCATTCTGTGCAGCTACATATCACAATACAGATAACGGACTATCAGATACGTCGTCGTATCGATACCTGATCACAACTATGATAAATGTCGACAGAGTTGTAAGTGTTTGATCAACGCTATCAAACGATTACGTCTCAGATGTACTTTGAACATATGAAATTGAAAACTGAACTGTCACTTATTAATACGATATTTATTTTACTATATGCAATCTTACTCTTTATGTTTATAATCATGCACATTATGCATGTACTTGACAATATTAAATTGGTATTATTTATTTTGAATACATAATATAGGAATACATAAATTGTTTTACTTCTTTAGAAAGCTGTTATTATGTTTTATTCCAAATTTATCAATTTTATCATAACATCTACATACTATACTATACAATTTACGTCTATCACTAATTTGCTTTCTTTCTGTAATATGTAGTTCAGAAGTTATAAAATTTTCATATATATATATAAAGAATTTCACACGAAGACGGTTAAGTTTGAACTACCCATGTTGTAGGATACGCGTATCGTAATTACATAATGTTTGTGTAAAACATGTTACAGAATTTCACGTTGAAATAGTGTAATATAATAAGTAATCAGTTTCATGAGAACATCGTGTTGCGTTTCATATTAGTACTAAAAGTTTCAAATAACCCTGATAATAAATATCAAACTTTTTTATCACTTATGCATTTAACTCTCATCAGAGTATTGCACCCAAAACACATTAATGTTTTCGAACACCTTTTGAGACCCATGCATGCATGCACGATGGAAGTGTATTATGGAGCACGTGTTAAAATTTCATTGGATAGGAATTTTGGATAGGTCCTATTTTGGACCGTGGCAAATACCATTAGTGAATTTTCAACTAATAGGATATTGCAGTATACGTTTTAGAAACTAACTCTGGTTGAAGAATACATTGTAATTGTAGCAATACGAATATCTATAAATTAGCAGTGAAACTGTTGAAAAATACAACTCGACATAGGGAATTTTAACTTAGTTGTACTTTTCACCTCGAATATCAAATTCTTATAAAATGGGCTCCTTCACAATGTCACCCATAAAGTATTTATATGTATCCAACCCCTTTATAAGCCTATAAGGTCTTTCAAGTGTAAGCCGATGTCAAATTTATTAGACAATAATATAAACGTCTTGGTAATGTAAAACCTGTATATTTTCCCAGACACTTTTATGTCTTTCAACTCCTTCAACGTTGCTACAGGTAGCAAATGTAGGAGGATTATTTCCATCAAAGAACATTTATATCAGTAGCATGTCCGACATTCTTTGTTCAAATGTTTCAATATTTAATTTGTTTATATTTTTCTACAGTAATTATAGTTGTTCAGGGGCCACTACTGGCGTAATCATGCTATTCGTTTCTATCCAATACGGCGCCATAAACATGTACGAGCTTTTGTATAATTAATTTATATACTGAAGTGAGTAATGTACCTTGTTACGTCATTATAGTTACTTTTTTGTATTTATAAATCAGGTTCTATCGGACCAATAAAATTCAAGCCCTTATTTCATCACTCTTCATCTTATTGGTGGATTGCTTCTCTCACTAAAATATAAGAACTCCATTGTGATGATTCCATTCCATTTATCTGCTCCTCGTTAATCTGTGAACCTCGTGATTCCAGAACTTTCGTCACCCCAAGGTTGTTGTCACGCGACTTTCTTATTCACGTGGGTTGCCAACTTACGAAAAACAGTAAAACCCAAGAGGGTACGTTTTCCAGACAGTTGGGAAAGTATGTAACACTTGGATTTGTTATTTGAATAACTTTTGTCAGTGAAATTTAATTATATATTTAAATACCTTGAATGTTCTTATGATCCAGGGTCTAGCTCTTCTATCAACAAAAATGGACAGATAGATTCAAACTGAACAGTATATATGTATGTAATACGAGTTTTCAAAGTTTATGATTGGCTTAATTATAATAAGCAATAATAATAAAATTTATTTAATTTTATGTAAAGAACAAAACGATTAGTGTAAAAAAGATCAAATAATAGTGGTGATTATTTAGTAAATTAATCTCAAGTTTAAACTTCAACGGTCTGTTATTCAATTGACGTTAAAGAAGGTTGAAGATATGATGAAATAAAATAAAAATATAATTCTGCAAGCAGCGTTAGCTTCCCATAATTATAACACATTGCATAAAAAATTGTGAATAATATTTACTTCACACAGCCAAACTGACAAGAATTCAAATAAATGCCACGTATGAAATTTCGTATTTTAAAGGGCATATTGTGCCCACGTGGGTTAAACGGTCATGTGAAAGACCCCCTAAGTTTCAGATATAGTAGTCCCTAATTTTGAACTAATCACTAGAGAGAGAGAGAGAGCAACCAATCAACCACACCCATCGCCACAGGGGCTTAGGACCGACAAACGAGTTTGTCTATTACTATTATAGCACACCCACAGCTAAATGTTTAAAACTTGTTCAGCGTCGTAAACCTTAGATCTTTTCGATCCGCAACCCTGCACGCTAACCACTAGTCAACGCCTGGCTGACATATATAAAATACAATAAAATACTACGTTACTGAAACCAAAACTATAAGCACCTTACACACTTAATCTGCAATCCTAAAATAATATGTAAGCAATAATAACTTCATTATGCTGTAAAAAACAACTGATACAGCATGGTTATGTACTATCACAAATTACCACAACAGGCGTATTAACTAGTAGCAATTACTAGTTCATGAATTTGTATTAATTTCAATTATTACAGTAGCAATACGTATTACTAACAATAACTACAACATATTTATCTAGTGATAATAGCTACTATAAAATAATTAAAGCTGAATTATCAATTAGTAAAAAGTAAAATGTCGTACCGCCTGTTCTCTATCATTACGAAATCTAACAAATAAAGTCACGTGCGAAACCTAAGATGCTTCCTTGGGACAAATAACAGCATGAAACGCCATTAACGAGTGATTGGCAGACAAATTAGCTGGCAGGCATAACGAAACATGCTGTGAAAGTTAGTTCAATAATTATATTTCATCGAAAGTGTCACGAAACGGAATTTGCTTTTTTATCGTGTAATAGTTTAATAAATCCCTTTTATCGAAAATATAACGCTGAGGATGTTAGTTTAATCTATTTTTTTCATCTTATTTTTACTTTTTCTAATATTTAAAGGAACTTTATGAACATTTATGAAATATTTTTGTGCTCATAAACGATTATTATGAGACTAAATTTTGTGTATATGGCTATTAATTTTGTTCCTTTGTTTGTTCCTTCAGCCAAGTGTCGGGTGTAGCCTATTGATTAGTGTGCCAGACTGTGGATCTGTGAATCCATGATTTATGTCTCTTCGCCACAAAATCCTTTCAGTTAGGACCATGGGTGCGTTATATGTTTGATAGTCAAAAACCCATTATTCAAGTAGTGTATCCCAAGAGCTGGTAGCGTGTGTTGTTGATTAGCTGCATTCTCGCTTGTCTATCAGTTCAAAATTGGGGACTGCTAGACAGTCTTTGTGTAGCATTGCGTTAATATGTAAAACAAACAAACTCTTAGCCTCCTCGTGTCTTTAAACCGAACTACACCTCAGTTTAAAAGCTAATCAATAACTTTTGATTCCCAGAAATATTACCTTTCTCTGGCATTTAGATATATAATAAATTCTAATTAACCGTCAACAGTCATATTGAAATGAGATTCAAGAACTATTTTTGAACATTCCAAACTGCTTCTAGACTGTGAAAGGAAAACTGTGATGGTTAACCAAAGGAGTCCTTGAAGTTTGTTTTTCACGTTACCCTTCTCGTTCACAGCGTCTTTTTTCTTTTTTTTTTACACTTTATCTGCACTATAATTATGTTTGGGTCTTACGGAAAAAATAAGTATGCTGAAAGGTATTCATCAGATTAATATTTCCATTGCCTGTCCTGCGGTAATAGCACACGGTCAAACAACCCACAGAAACGAAGTAAACAGGTTGTTGTGGTAGTGTTTAATTATAGATATATATAACAAAATAAGAACGTTGATAATCGTCAGCTTTTGGAAAATATACTTTCCTCGTTCAGAGGTGAATTATGAAAGACGAAAGGTTGCCTTTCAAGATAGTGTGCTAGGGCTATCAGGTTTCTCACCTCTGACTTGTCCAGTTTTTAAATCTTTATGTGATTTCTTAATATCATGAACGAACGAATGTGTATATTGTTCACATTACGATGGTTTTAGTTTTTATGTAACTTGGGGCTTGGCGTTGCTTAATGCTTAACGTGCCGAGCTAAACATATTCAGTATGCTGCTGAACATGCTCCAAACTTTAGGCTCAGGTGTTATAAGTGTGGCAGTAAATTCCGGTATTCTGTAAAGTGCAGCCGCAAAGATGACAAGTGCTATTGACTGTTTGTTTTTCATCTCATAAGCAGCTCTAAATTAAGTATGAACACTGGAATCTCTCACTGTTTAGCGTATCTGCTACTAAAGGTGGCGTTCTGGTTGAATATAATCGTGTGGGACGAAGGTAATACTTATTGTAACAAGTTGAATAAAATACAGTCGTTGTTTAGTATATATCACTAAACACACACAGAGGTGACACTTGGAATTTCAGAAGCAAAGACCTATCTCAATACTTTTATATAGTTAGTTCCTTTAATAACCGTATTTCAAACATTATAAACTCTACCAACTGCTCTGAAGTGACTTTTGTCGCTGCTGTTACTAAATGAGACTTGTAACATACAACCATGTCTGTGAATGCGTCCTGCTAATTTTCGTGGTGATTACAACCCAAGTAGGTGATATTTCACACTACATATTAATTCTTACGTCAGAACTAAATTTTAAAGAGAGGTTTCAGTTGTTTTTGCTGAAAGTTGATGTTAACTATTTCATTTATTGAAAAACTTTGATGCTCTGGATACGGTGCACCATTTACATACAAAAACACTAACTTATGATCAATCACGAAATTTGACGTAATGGTTTTTTTTTGTTTTACTTGGGTAATAAAAAGAAATATTTCATGATTTACCAGCTCAAACACTACATATTATTAGACAGCCGATAGATAACGCTACCATTTTGCGAAAGGGTGTTTTAAATTTCATTTTATATTACGCTGTTTCAGCTTTTTTTTTATTTCGATTGCAATTTAAGATGTAAACTATTAAACTAGATGTATTGTAAAATATTTATAAGTTATCTTTTCAATCAAAGCTTTATATATTATACCTGATGAGCTCTAGAATTGAGTGAAAGATCTCGTCACTGATGTACAAAAGACGAGTTGAAGATCAGATGCTATTGTATACTCCTCTTGTAGGAAACCAGTACTAAGTCAGCTAATAATGATGTGATTAAAATTATCACTGGTCATTTTCATGGTAAACATAGTATATCTTTAAAATGGAAAATAAATTCTGACTTGCTGTACCGGATGTAAGTATAGAGTGGAAGACTGCTGACAATCCTAATGAGTTCGTGTTGAATGTACGCAAGCATGCATTAAAACACCGACAAAGACAAAATACAAGCTTCGGAACAAGGTGTTTATAGATTAAAACTAAATTACTCCTTCTTTGGATACTTAATAATGGGGCCTTTAGTGATACACTGGTAGTTGATATTAATCCCTTGGCCATACTTAATAATGGGGCCTTTAGTGATACACTGGTAGTTGATATTCATCCCTTGACTATACTTAGTAATCGGACCTTTAACGATATATCGGTAGCTGATACTCGTTCCTTGGCCATATATATAGGAATGGAACCTTTAGTGATATACCAGTAGCTGATACTCATTCCTTGGCCAGACTTAATAATGGGACCTTTAACGATATATCGGTAGCTGATACTCATTCCTTGGTCATATATAAAAATGGAACCTTTAGCAATATACCAGTAGCTGATACTCATTCCTTGGCCATACTTAATAATGGGACCTTTAACGATATACCGGTAGTTGATACTCATTCGTTGGCCATACTTAGGAATGAAACCTTTAACGATATATCGGTACCTGATACTCATTCCTTGGCCATATATAGGAATGGAACCTTTATCTATATACCGGTAGCTGATACTCATTCCTTGGCCATACTTGGGAATGGGACCTTTTGTGATATACCGGTAGCTGATATTCATTCCTTGATCATACTTAGTAATGGCACCTTTAGTGATGTGTCGGCACTTTATATTCATTCTTTGGCCATACTTAGTAATGGGACCTTCAGTGAAATACCGGTAGTTAACATTTTTTTCCTTGCCCTAATCAGTGCAAAGTTTCACATTTGATAAATTGGTAACGAATAAAGATTTGCAACTTTTATGAATTTGATTTTTTTAAACATATTAGGAAGTTTTTAAATAAATGCAGCTAGACTGTGCCAACAAACTATATAGTAACTTACCAGATTAATGAAAATATCACAAATTTTACAAGTCAGTTTTACATGTTAACCTTTCTTACGTGTTTAAGATGTATAGGTAGAAATAGTGTTCCACAGGAATGTTTCATTTAAATTTACTCTGCTTTCCAGAACAAAAATAATCATAATTATTGACATCATACTGAGGTGTGAATATTTGTCTTATTCTGTTGTAATGTTACTATAAAATGAGTTATTATTTATCGAGTAAAAGTTCTCTAAATAATATAGAACTTCAACTCTTCTTCTCTATCTAAATGGTTTTAACTGTTTTATAAAGATTTCTATAACTTTAAGCTTACCTGATTCATATAGTTTTATCTTCCTTCGAAAGACGTTTCATCGTTTCTATTTGTTTTTCTCTTCCGCCGCTAAGTAGTTACATATATCGTTTGCCCTTGGCCCGTTGCTCTATATTCATAAAGGTTTAGTCGTAATTTCTATGACACAATTCTCACCTAACATCGGCCATGGACACTGCCCTACTTAGGGTGCACTAGCTGGGTTGCGTGTCGTTATTTCACTCAGTTGAGAACGTATAAATACTTATATAACCAGAAGAAACAAAACTAACCCGTCTGATCAACTGTTTTCATGCTGCATATCGGGTAAGCTCATTAAGTTTTTATTTCATTCGTATTTTAGGCAACATATACGTTATTTAGTTGGAGTAATGGTCTACAACTTTTATTCTCTATAAATTACTTTCTTTCGTTACATAAGCCTATTTCAGTTTGGTGTTACAGTGGCGCCTCCTGGTTTGCTCCAATCATGTTTTTATTCAGAACAAAATTGTAAGTCTTTCTAATGACATATACTTAATAGTAATTTTGACTCTAGAATATACTTCACAATACTTCACATTTACACATTGTTTGAATAATATTGTTTTAAGGTAACCTTCGAATCAAATAATTCAAATATGTAAATTACAAAGGCTTGCGATGATTTTATTGTCTTGAAATTGTTACAAGTTCTACAGTAACTCCTCTATACTAATTCCGAAAATAATATCCATTTTTCTCCATCACGTATAAATTTGTCACAAAATGTGATAACGCAATACATAAAAGAAAGAACACAACACGTAGTTTTGAGTCTAAAAGACGTAGATTTCACACAAAAAAATCAGGATGAATGAGGATTTATATTCATTTAACATCAATTTCTTCAGTTTGTTTGTATTTTTTTTTAACAAACATAATAATAATAAATGTTCATTTTGGTAAACGAAATAATAATAATTTGATCTAAGTAAGAGTTTTTTTCTTCTTCTCGATTTGTGAAAATTCCTTACGTGATAGGAAAAAAATTAATATTATTTTCAAAATCTACGTAGCTGAATTATGAAAAAATCCGTTATTAAAATCAAAACAACTTTTTTGAATCCACTATGATCACTTTAAGCCACACACATTTTATTGTTCTAAAATTTCAGTTTTCTTCTTCTACTTAAAATTGAAACCTTAGCTTTACGCATGATCAAAATGTTTTCATTATTAATCTGTTTATGTTCATGCTAGAGAAGCTTAGAACCGGCCAAGTAAAAGGTGTCCTTCATCCAATTGCGATGTCTCATCGCAAACATTTGTTAATGTGCAACCCAGGTAACGTTGTACCTTCCCTAATTTCAAACCAGTTGACAGAGACCATTTTTACTTTATGCATTGCATTATTATTATTAATTTATGTATCGCGTTTTTATTATAATTATTTCTATTTTCCACATCAGACGTCCAATGCATATAAGATTATTTTAATATCACTTATGTTAATATTTGGGGGAGGAGTGGCAACATGCTCTTTAATATTCTCCTCAAGGCTTTTTTTAGTTATAATGCCCAATTGAATTTGATTTGTCCGCCGGTGGGACAACGGTAAGTTTACGGACTTACAACGCTAAAATCCGGGGTTCGATACTCCACGGCGGACACAGTAGACAGCCTAATGTGACTTTGTCCTAAAACAAAACAGGCAAAAACAATTTTTTTTAAGTATCATCTGTCCTTCCCACATAATTTTGCACTCGCTGCACTTCGATACTTCCACCCTCATTCCTCCAGTAAACATTAGCCATTAAACTTGTAAGTGTGTAAAACATATTCTTTATTCAAATAACAAAACCGACATTTATACATTTTGATACTCATCTTAATTATTTAATAATAATTAGACGACATGTGAAACCTCTATAGGCAAACTATGAAAATTCGTGGAAATTAATATTATTTTCATAGCACATTTGTCATATTTCGAGGATTGCTGTTCATTAGCTAGGTTTCTGTTGAGTTTTTTGATTAAATTATTGAAAACCGACAAGTAATAGCTATTTTGATATTTACTTTGTTTGAGATTTAAATGTATTATTCATTTTTTATCATCAACAGATGACGCTAAAACAAAATTACTACCTCGTCGCTTATGCCACTCTGGCAATATTGATGTTGCTCCTAGCAACAGTAACCGAAACCAAATCTATTCAAAAACGAAGTTTTGCTCAGCTGGGATGTATGGGAAATTTTGACAAAGCCATTTTCGCCCGGTTGGTACGTACCTGTGAGGAGTGTTACAATGTTTACCGAGATCCCTTCATACATCAGGAATGCAGGTAAGTAAAAAACAAAACAAAAAAAAGCAATTTCAATATTCCTTTTTGGCCTGTTATATGAGTTCAATAGAGAAAACGAGTTTTGTGATTTATAACACTTTGGTAAAATTATTGTCTTACCTGTAATTTACTTCTCATGGGATTTTTGTTGTTGTCAGAATTAACAGAAATATTTCTCTCAATATCACGTCACATCTGATTTTAATGAAAATATTTTATCCATTTTCAAAACATTTTCCTGTTATCATCCATCAAGTTTAAGCATCACTACGTTCTGATTCATCAGGTTTTAATACAAATATTAATGTGTTTTATATTTCAGATTGAATTATGTTGTTATTTGTAATCTGATTCATCAGGTTTTATATATTATATTTCAGATTGAACTCTGTTGTTATTTGTCCAAATGAAAATATGGCTGTATTGCAGTCCTTAAAAACAAGAGAGCTCTTCAGTTACAACTGTAAAATCTAAGGCAGTAATAACTAGCTTCGTTTTCTAATTAAAACATCATTGCTTATGATCCATATTTAATACAATACAAATGTGTGTATATCATATGATATCTTTTGCTTAAAAAATGATAACAATAAGCAGACAATATACACGTAGAATATCTTATGTGTAAAATGCCCCCCATCATGACTAAGCGGGAAATGTGGCTTAAAACACTAAAAATCAGGGCTCGATACCCGCAGAATGTCTCAGTACGGGTATCCATTGGGTAGTTTTTTGGCGTTTGAACACAAACAAATATTTAAAATGTACCATAAAAACAACTGATTTTAGATTAAATGATAAAAATATAATGAAACATGTACAAATGTATATAGCTACCTGACTTCCATCTTATTCGTTATCAATATAAAAAAAACATAACATGCACGGGAAGTTCAGTCCCGGAATGGCCAGGTGGTTGGGGCGCTTGACTCATAATCTGAGGGTCGCGGGTTCGAATCCTCGTCCCACCAAACATGCTCACCCTTTTAGTCGTAGTGGCGTTATAATGTGACGATCAATCCCACTATTCTTTAGTAAAAGAGTAGCCCAAGAGTTGGCGGTGGGTGATGATGACTAGCTGTCTTCCCTCTAGTCTCTCACTGCTAAATTAGGAACATCTAGCGCAGATAGCACTCGTGTAGCTTTGCGCGAAATTCATAACAATAACTGTTCAAGAGCCTCTACATACTGACAGGTTAAAATAATCTTTCTTCCATTCTAGGTCTAACTGCTTCAAGAACAGTATGTTTAACGATTGTTTGAAGGTTTTGCTCATGCAATCTGAGAAGGAGAATATGATCAAGATGGTTGACGTTTTGTATGGGAAGTGAACACCAAGGCTAATTGTTTCCCTGATGTTCTAACCGAACTCAGTCATTTACCGTAAGAAGTTTACTCGATATAGAGGAATTATAGATGTAATGCACGTTTTACCTCACTAGTGAAAACATGTTTGTTATTATTTAACCTATAAACTCCAGTTTAGACTGAGAGATTAGGGTTTGTTGATCTTGAATATTTTGGTAAAAGGTTTTGTGTTTTTCTTAACGTATATATATATATATATATATATAGGCTCAGGGTTTAGCAATCTGTACGCAAAATGTCATCATTTTCCACTGTTCGCACTTATGTAAAAATAACTTATATAACACGCGTTGTAATCTATACAATATTTATCTATGTGTATTTTTAAATGTGTACATATATTGAAGTATTTCGTTTTTAGATTGAAATAAAATTTTATGTTGAGTTTCAGCAATGCATTTGTTTCTGTTCATTTTTTAGTTGTGTATTTAACAAAATTCTTGATTAAAATCATATTCACTTACTTACCTTTCCTAAGACAAACCTAGATATATATAAAATAAACCTAAAGTTTAACCTAGATGCAAGACTATCTTGCAAATAACGTTCCATATTAGCATCGCATTTACTTTAATGCACAAAGAAACTTTAATATATAATGAAAAAAGTTGGTATCTTAGTTACATTTTTAAAAACTTGTTCTTAAAGGTTATGTATCTTTTGTCGATGTTAGGACAAGTTTACAAAAAAAAATAGACTCGGAAGGATTCACACGTAACGTTCATTCGATTTCAATGAAATAATATTTAGAAAAAATCAATATAGTTTTTATACTTAAAGTGATAATGCTTACATCTATTTCAATTTTTAGCGAAGAAAAATAAATAAATTAGCATGTTCTGGTTGCTTGACTTTGAAAGCACTACAGTGTTAAACGCGTAACTAAATGGAAATACTCATATTAGAGATCTCAACTTATACGTTTTTCTATATTTTTCCAAATTGCCATCCAAAATGTCAATAAAATTTCTGAGAACATTCAATTTGTTTGAAAGTATGGCAGGAAATCGGTACTTTCGACAGCTTAATTACAACTCTGTTATGCCTTAAGATGTTTTATATACGATTTTGGCTGAAAAAGAAACACAAACAAGTTTATTTCTACGTGATCTTGTAGTCTAAATGTTAATACGTGTCATTAAAACAGATCACTTAAGTTTCCAAAAATGTGGGGCGCAAATGATCTTTTTTTTGGGGAGGGGGAATGGTAGAATCAGTAGTGCGATAATGAATAATTAATCATTTTAATATGTTTTTTATTAATGAAAATAATAAATGATTATAGAAACACATATGGCATTTTAATGTGTATCCGTATATTATATCTCGTCACTTAACTCACTCTTTCACTCATTTAAAAGAAAAGACGGGGGGGGGGAGTGAGCGCAAGGAACCATATTTATTAAAGAGGGACGTGGATGACAAAAGTTTGGGAAATGCTACCCCAAAGAAAAAAAAGTTTGTATTTTAAGTAGGATCTACTGACATTATGTTAAAATAAATTATCAAATTAATAAACTTAAACCGAGATGTACGACGTTCTTTAAGAGTTCTGTTTAAATTTGACTTAAACATGGATCATCCACCTACCCTAACACGTGCTTTTCCCTGGAACCTTTTATCGAGGTCTTGTTTAATCATGTGGTCTATTGAAGAAAAAGAACTAAAAACAACGTTACAACTGAACCATACAATGTATAATTGTTTCATACGTTGCTGGTGCAAGAACATTTTCAGTTTAAGTTTACTATAAGTTACCTAGAGGAGAAAATATTATTGAACATTCTATGTGAATGGATTATACATTTTGCTGTATAAAAGACTGCGTTAATCCTAAAAGGCATTTTCAAAAGTCATATACTTTCCCCGTGACATTTGATAGCTCTAGGTGAGAAAACTGAGCTATAATAATTAATAGTTAACCTTTACTCCTAAGTTATTTGTGTGTTTCTTAGACATTTCCTCATTCCGTTTTACCATTATGACAAACAGTGCTGCAACTTAAACCCTTCTTTCCACTAATAAACAGTTTCCTTGTATTAATGAAATCGGAGAAATTCTTGGGAGAACTAATTTAAGCTCTAAAACACAGCTCAAGTTAAACATGAAAAACACGTTTCGACTTCTCACTCACTAAAACACAGGTCAAGTTAAACATGAATAACATGTTTCCACTTCTCACCCACTAAACCATAAGTCAAGTTAAACATGAAGAACATGTTTCCACTTCTAACCCACTAAACCATAAATCAAGTTAAACATGAAGAACACGTTTCCACTTCTCTCCCACTAAAACACAGGTCAAGTTAAACATGAAGAACATGTTTCCACTTCTCACCCACTAAACCATAAGTCAAGTGAAACATGAAGAACATGTTTCCACTTCTCACCCACTAAAACACAGGTCAAGTTAAACATGAAGAACATGTTTCCACTTCTCACCCACTAAAACACAAGTCAAGTTAAACATGAAGAACATGTTTCCACTTCTAATCCACTAAACCATAAATCAAGTTAAACATGAAGAACATGTTT